TTTCATTAAATCCAGCCTTTTTCGACGAATTTCGATTAAAGCCAACGTTGGCAACATAGCTATACATTTCCTTTTCGAAATCATGCTTTTTTCAGAAGATTACGAATTTTTCAATATTTTCAAATACTTTCAAAATCTGACCTTTTGGAAATGAAACAAAATCGATGCATAGCGTAATGAGGATTTAAATTAAAATATTAAACCAATGAAAAAAATCCCGAGAAAGTAATTTTTCTGGGAGCCTTTGCATTTTTTCTGTATTAGTCACATGACCATGGGCGTGGCCTGATGACGTCATCACTAGTGTTGCTGATCAAGAAAAAGCTAAAACACCTGAAATAACTCTGAGGTAACTAAAAATGACGAGATTATATGAGAATGAATTTTCCCTAGCAACGGCTCGAAAAGATCGGTTAATGGGCCCTTAAGCTACATATACAACGAAGGCGTCCAATTCCAAATGGAAATACGAAAAATTAGCCGTCGTCGCCCACGTTCCGTAGACGGCGCAGAACTTGGTAATTTCACGTTGTTGTTTTGCAGAGGAAGGCAACGGAAATGTATAAAGATTTATAACGCACGTGCACAGCTATTGTTTTTCTCATTAAACCTTTTGTTTAGTGACGTTCTTGTTGCCGCCGTCGTCGTGGTTTGCATAAGCTTCCTAATGATAGGCGACGTCTCGTTGACACGAAAAAAAACTGCAATTTTTGCAAGTAAATGGTTTTCCCTCGTCAGCACTACGCTCACTCTGATTGGTTAAAATTCATCGGATGATGAAGCAAGAACCAATCAGCCGTAGGGCTGATAATGCATTAGGAGCCCGCTGTTAGTCATTTGCGGCCCGCTGAGCACGTGTTTTCAAGTGTTTGGGAGTTTCTATTTGGCCGCGTCTATTGATAATAATGGAGGATAACATTCAACATATACGGGTAATGTACAGAGTATGTCATCCCTCCGATATAGGCTTGCAATTACCCTCAGCGTCCTTCTTGATTTTAAGGGATTCAGGATCGACAGTTAGAGGGCCCAGTTTGCCGTCCTGTATAGCCTTTTTCAACGGAATCAAAGCTCTGTCATCTTCCAGCTTGTTTTTGAACGACAGCTGAAATTCCACCACAACACTGCCCGGCCTAAGAACAGACACAAATACTTATAAATAACCAAACCAACAACAACAACAACAACAACAACAACAACAACAACAAAGCAGCGATTACACAATTAACGCAATCATAATCATTTTTTTTTTTTTGTTAGCTAACGGGACTTTGGGCGCGATGCCCAACGAGTTTGGCAAGCAGAAAGGTCTCTGATGAGTCCCTTGGCCGGGACGAAACAAGCTGCGTAACACTAGCCACGAACAATGTATTATCACAAGTAACTGTCAACTTTATTGTCATAATCAATTTAACAAATATCTTTCGTGTTCTTGTGACTCTGTTTAGTAATTGATCACAGATGACGTCAAAATGTGGTACAATAACAAAAACGTGGGACATGAACGATAGCTGAGGTCACAGATGTAACGTAAATGTAAATCTTATTTATAGTGGTCACGCACTTAGCTATACAAGTACTAAGCTTAGCTAGTTCCGTGGCGGATCTAGGGGAGGGCCCGGGCCCCCTTATTTTGGGTGAAAAAAAGAAGAAATGACTGAAGGAAGAAAAGCCGGCAGGGCAAGTAAATCCGCCACTGTAGTTTACATCTTTTTTTTTTTTT